TGTGTGTGTGTGTGTGTTTTTAACAGTGTACCCTATTTGGCTCTATCTTTGCAGGCCATGGATGATGTGAAGAAAACCTTCATCAAAGCAGAGCAGAAGTCCTACCAGCTGCAGAAGCTGGCGGAGCAAAAGAAGATGTCCATGGTCAGTCCCTCTCATATAGACAGACACCACACAGCTACTCTACTACTGTTTCTGAGTAATGTACACAGACAGAGGGAGTTGCTGATTGGAGTTTGTGTGTCTTATGTTTCCCCCTATCTCCTACCTGTTCAGTCTGCCTTCACTATGTGTGATATAACAAAGTGGAAAAGGTATTTCTGGGGTTGGAGGCTGTCTAACAGCGAGAATGTAGGTTTGACTGGAATGTCAGAGACACATATGCAGGGAAAAGTGCACCGAGATAGTGTTCACTTTTGTCTGAAAACAAACCATGCCCCAGCAGATAATACTCACATCTCATTTTAAGATCAGCTGGGCTGCAGGGGATAACTCTAGTGTCTGACTGTACACAGCTTTATGACTATAAAACTTAGATACAGTTAAACATCAGAAGGTGCACCCTGCATCTAAACCTAAATCAGTTGCAGAACTACATAATGTAATATATAAGAAAAACCCAAATATCATGTCTCCTCTACCACTTTCTCTCAGTATCTGAGCCTATTGAGAGGTTGCGAGGGCTACAATGAGATCATATTCCCCCACTGTTCCTGCGACTCCCGACGTAAAGGCCACGTCATCACAGCCATCAGCATTCACCACTTCAAGCTGCACGCCTGCACTGAGGAAGGGACACTGGAGGCAAGGGAATCTGCTAGCCTGTCCCTTTGTACAAACATATTGTTGTATGTATAGTGGAGTGAGTGAGTGTGTGTACTAAAGCCTCGATGTTATTCCAGAACCAGGTGATTGCGTTTGACTGGGGGGAGATGCAGAGGTGGGACACAGATGAGGAGGGCATGGCCTTCTGTTTTGAATATGCGCGAGGGGAGAAGAAACCACGCTGGGTCAAGATATTCACACCCTATGTGAGTATCACACGCACATTATTACACGTGATATACTACATTAAGTATTCTAGTGAAAATACAGCTCCTGCCTATTTGAATTCCTTCGGCATCCCTTCAAAACCACCTTTTCTTTTTAACTGCCTAAGTTAAATAAAAATTACTGCTATAATTTAAAGAAATAGTTTGACATTTTGGAAATATGCTTATTTTCTTTCTGCAGAGACTAAAAAAGATCAATACCACTGTTATTTCTGTACAATAAATATGATACTACTACGAGCAGTCGACTAGCTTAGCTTAGCTTAATTTAAAAAGCAAAAAAGCAATTCACACACACACTTCAATTACACAATTGTGCAGGTAGGTTTATTTTGTTACCATTTAGCTAGCTGTTTCCTTCTTTTTCCTGTTTCTGTGCTAAGCTAAGCTAACCAGCTTCTGGCTGTAGCCTTATATTTACAGTACAGACATGAGAGTGCTATTGCCCTCGTTGTTTAACTCTTTGCAAGAAAGCAAATTAGTGCATTTCCTAAAATTTTAAATTATTGCAATCAAGGAAAAAGTAAACTTTATAAACATTACTCTTTTTATCTAATCTAATCGGGTTTTGTCTTTTCTGTCTTTGCTGCTCATGGGTGATGTTCAGTTCAACTACATGCATGAGTGCTTCGAGAGAGTCTTTTGTGAGCTGAAGTGGAGGAAAGAGGTAAAGACCATCTACTAACAGACTGACCTACTCTATTACAAGCCATGTATTTGTGTCCTTTACTCATACTAGCAATGTGTGTTTTTCTACAGGTGGAAGAGGAGGCTACAGACAAGGACAATAAGAACTGCAGTAAAGATGGTATGTGTGGCAAGGTAAGGCTTTGCCTGCCTCTGTCCAGTGTATGATTCAGTAATAACCTGGGTGACTTTCTCTGTCTTCTGTCTCTGAGTTTGTGTGTCTTCGTCTTGATTGCTGTCTCTGTTGCAGAATATTTTCCAGCTGCTGAGGCACAGAAGGGATGGAGGCACCTAGGAAGGGAGATTGTTACCTCTTAACTAGACACCGCCGTCACCGACTCTGCTCAGTTCGGCCCTCATCAGACCCAGCAACACTCAGCTATTAACTACATGGTCCCCCATTTACACTCCATCAGCTACAACCTGAGAAGCTACCCCTGATACATGCAAACCAGAAGCATCTGCAAAGGAACAAATCGAATAAGCATAAAAAGCTACAGACACATGAACCAGAACTTTTGAATCCAGCACATCATAACCATGCATTAAGCAGAGCTCTGTCAAAAAGAAATGAGGCCTCTATAGACTTAAACTCATGGATTCATGCAAGCCTTCTTCTTATTGGCAGGGACTTGAAGTGGAATGTGACTTGTACACATGAGAAGGGTTTTGAGCCTCTTCTAAAGTAGTCCCATCGGGAACAGAATGCAGAAGTAAATAAGGAAATATCGGACTAATAAGGGAAAGTTAAAGCCGTCCGTGCTTGCAAAGGGGAACAGATTACACATGATCAGCGTTATTGAGGGTTGACAACAGGAAGACACTTAGCTTCTCAATTTATGGATCAGAGCAGCAGTGTCTTCTTTGTCTTTTTTTGCCAGTTGTTAGCGTGCCAATGTGTTTGTGCATGTTAACGATGCGTGTAAGGGGGCCCTAAAAGGCAAGGGGCCAACCAGAGGCAAGGCCCCTCAGAATGTAGGTCACAGCTTAATTATGTCATAGACATGCATTTTCATCTGTTTACCACTAAATTTGCATTTATCAAAGAAAAATATTAACATTGTAATGTGGCAAATGAGAGAAGGGAGAGAGAAAGCAGATATTTTGTAGGATTGTTAGAGACATTTTTCATCCAGAGATTTAGCTGCACGATGCACACAGCTGCGAGGAATTGACACACGAGCAGGAACACATTAAACTTTAGACTAATGTTGCACTTTATCCAACAGTGTTATTAACTTTCAAATGTGGAAAATGTGACCTAAGAAGCAGATAGTGGGCATAATACTGGAACTAGCCTGCACTTAGTTTACATTCATTCTTGACTGACTGACTACAGTATGATTATGTACTGTATTATCAAATGGTATGTGTAGCGTGCAGAGCCATGCATTACATTTTTCTGTATTTATAGTATTATGTGAACACTCCATGCTAATATTTTGATGCCATTGTAGAGCAGCAGTGATGTGGAGCACTGATCTGTAGTACAGTATGTTTAGTGTGTATTACCCATAATAGACAGCAGGGGTCCTTCTCTTCCTGTCTGCTCTCTTGCAGGCAGTGATTACTTTGCTTCTGAGAACTCCCACAGGATTTATAATAGGCCTGTTATTCAGATGGCAGCACTATTTATCTCTGTGGTCCTTTTACTGTTAAACCACTTGTGCACTCCAGATTCAGGTTAAGTGGGAAGAGGATTTCTTAGCGAAAAGGGCAGCTTGCACCCTTCATCAACATGATAGATATGAAGATAACTGCACATTCACTAAAGGCTTTGTAGTAACTGATCACATGACTGCAGTGTAATGTAATAATAAACAGCGTAATTTAATGTCCCTCTAAATGAGCCCGGTTAATGTTCTCATTCCTAGAATGTAATAATAATGTAATAACATAATTATCCGATGATGCACTAGTTACTTCAGACTGACGAATAAATAAGATATAATATGATGTAATTTACAGGTTATTGCCTCATTAAAGCTTAACACATTAAATATTCATCGCTTAGTGAAATTTTGTGATGTTACTACCTTATTCACCAAATCTAAATAGCTTTATCGTATTATCAACTCATTTAGAAGGACATTTTGAAGATTCTTATTTAATCTGAAAGATATTACATGTTCAGTTGCTACTAGATTTTTACAAGATGAGCCCTGCCATTTATGCAAAATCACATGTAAGATAATCAAACTGATCCTCGAAGCAAAGATGATCAGGTCATGTGATCACAATATGACGCCAATAATATTCAATTATCTCCCAGCCCTAACCCCTAGCTCGTAATGAGAATATCAATAGTATTTTTTGTTATCTACAAGCAAGTAAAGAGTCATAGATTGACATCAATGGCCCTTTCTAAAGGGTGCTTGTTATAGCAATGGTGCTGTTCACAAAAGCCATTTTGGGTGATAAATGAGCTTCAGTAGACCTTGGTGGGTGTGTAAAAGAGGTTTAATTGAATGTGTTGAGCCTTGAATTGAGAGATTGAATGTGCATTCCTAAAGTCCAAACGCATTTCCCAGGATTCTTGTCTGTTTACTGGACCGTGCCTGACATGTTTGATTGTCTGACATTGCGTGATGTGCCCCAAGTGTGCGCACCCCCCTCTCTCTCTTTCTCTCTCTCATTCTGACTAAAGTTAAGTGTCACTAACATTATTTATTTCAGTAAGATACAATGTTAAATTCAGCGTCTCTGTTGTTAAGTTTTTCACCTGATACGGTTTGGCTTTAAGAGAGCCACGCTAAGACAAGGATGAGGATTGACAACCTGCAGATTCTTTGACATGTTGAAATGTAAAATTTAAGACAAAGTGTTTGGTTACGTCGCTTACTGTAATAAATTGTAACATATTCTTTTAAATAAAACAATTTATTGATGCAAAGTTAGGTGTTTGTTTTGTGTGTCTGTGTGTGTTGGAACCTTAGATAACACCAGCAGGTGGGAATTGAGAGTCAAGGACTGCTAAAATCATGAAGTCACACACAAACCTCTTAGTAAGAAGAGATTGTTCTAAAATAAAGATGATTTTACGCTCATTCTCCCACTCTCCCTTAGTGTACCCACATCTGTTTTCTTTCTTCCTCTCTCTCTCTGCATTGCCCTCCTCTTCTATTCCCATCTCCAGCGTCTTTTAATGAGATCTGGGAGACAATTACCCAACAGGCAGTGAAACAGCCGTTCCATATCGACCTGCATCGAGTGCCTGCACCCAGTAATTAATAGCTATTGACTGTTAGTGGTGAGGGATATTCTCTTGGAACATCTGAATTTTGAAAAGCTAACATTTCTGGACCAGAGATCTGTCCTGAGAGATGTCTTGCACATTGTCAGACATCAGTGTTGATCAGTTTCATACCTTGATCATTGGTGCCCTGAAGGGAGGGAAGAAGCTGAAGTGTAACTTAAAGGATAATTTAATAAAAGAACAACATCCCTAAAACAAAACGAGTAGATTTTGTTGCTGAATTGTAGGTACAGCTGATGTTTATATATTTTAAAATGTAACATTAGCAATCTGAAATATTCAGCCGCATTACATTGGTTCAGCCTCTATGTATGTATGGTATTTGCATGTTATCCCTGTGCTGGCGGGCTTTCTTCAGTTCCCTCCTACTTTGCAAAGACATGTCAAATCAAGAGGATTTGTGGAAAATCTGGCAACCTGTCTGTGATGTCCTCCTCTTCGCTTTTAAAGTGGAAAAACCTGACTGAATAGAAATAGGCCCATAAAGTAACTAAATACTGTGTAGTCATAGCTTTCTTTCCGATTTCAGTAGTTCTTTGACATTTTTTAATCAATTAACTTATAATAAAACACATTTTTCAACTATTACTCCCTTCTTTTATCCTCTGCCTTTCTTATTTTTCCCACATGAGCAAACTCAATAAAGAACTAACAGCACTGACTGCACAAGCAGCAGTGTAAGTGAGTGAGGGTGTGTGTGAGAGCTGGAAAGACATAAAGAGACAGAGAGCTTTAGGGGTATGTGTGGTTACTGCATTAGGTCTGCCGCAAGGTCCTTACTTCACCACTTCATGTGTCTGTGAATGTGGGTGCAAATTTGTGGGACAACTGCAGCCACACATTGCAGTGGCCCCTTGATACCAAATGCACACTTTCTGCATCGCACTCTCCTGCTTGCTGAATGCTGTTTTGTATAACTCGATTTTCTTCTCCTCTGAACAACCGGCTCTGATTGAATTGTCAACAAAGAGCAGGTGGATGACTGAGTCAACGCAGGAGGGGAGTATCTTAGATTTATTACCTGTGCTGTATTGCATTTCTCAGCTGTGTTAAGCAGCAGCCCTGGTAGCTGGACGGACAAAAGGAGCTCAGTAGGCCATTTAAATGTTCCAATAGTGAATAGTGAACTGCCTTGCCTGCACACACAGTACTTACAATGAAAAAGTTAAAAGCCAAATTATGGCTGAAGGTTTGAGTACAGCCGTGCCAAGACACCAATTAGCCAAATTCAATCATCATAAAGTGTTTGCATTATTTCATAGTCAATCATTTTACATGGGAATGTTTGCCAGAATCTGTCACATAAATTCTGATAAAGACACCCTTTGCCAATTCAGAATATATGTCCAGTCACCCCTAAACGCAGGTCTAAGTACAGTTTAGCAGCAGCAGCATCTCTCCCCACCTCTCCTCTCCCCGCCTCTCCTCTCCCCTCCTCTTCCCTCTTCTCCCCCTCCTCCTCTCCCTCTCTCATTAATGAGCAATCAGTTAAAAACTTTATCGGCTCCTATTTGCTTTCTCAGCACATTTTCTCCTCCGTCTTCTGTTTCTCTACCATGCCACCACCTTATTTCTGTGCTCGCTTTCATTCTGCATCCTCTCCATCTCTACGCCTCTGCATAGCCCTCCCTTCCATCTCTCTTTCTGTCCCTTTCTTCCTTTTGCCCTTTTTATTGTCGTGCTTCATTACCTCCATCTTCCCTTTCCTCTCTCTCTGGTATTTTTTCCGCTCATACCCCCCCTTCCTTCACTCCTCCTGTCCTCTGTTTCTGCATCCTTTTTAAACTTCGATCGAGGGCAGGGGAGCCACAGAATAGAACATTTGATGCATGTCTAGACAGTACAAAACATGAGACAGTTTATTTTACAATGTTTACAGCTCGGTCTGTCACATTGGCATTTCAGTTCGGCGAAATGTACGGCAGGATTTACATTCCTAACCAGGGTCGATGAGATAAGCATTTTCTGCATACATAAAGGTGTGATGGGTGAAGGTGTGCTATGGTGTGTGTATGTGTATTTATAGGATAAAAAGTCTTGTAAAAAGCTGACGTGACCTATGATTTGTAGCCTCTCTCAACCACAGTTTGCAATCTGAACCCCATACATGTGTGTCTGTAAATATGTCTCCACAGAAAGACAATAACATTCCACATTACGAATATAACCAGAGCTTTGACATATCTGTTCTAGCTGTGACTGTGGAACTGTATCCCATATTCAGAAGAAGACAGATACAGTACTTCATCCAGCCCTCTCAGATGAGATATCATGTTATTGCTTTATATAAAGTGAATGACAAAGGTAAAAAAAATTACTCCCTATAGCTGTATGCTGCATGTTTTTCTAGGGATATAAGTACATTTTCTGCTTCATTGTAAACATTACAGTATAATATCAAGTTAGCGTGATTGATACAGGTGCTGCAGAAATTGATCAAATGTCATCATCCCATTATATGGGCAATGTTCAGGCTGTATTACTGTGATGAAGATTTTTCTTTTTATGTTATTGATCTCATGAACTGAGTATTCATGTGGAAAACTCATTGACTTTGGACAGCCTTTTAGATGAAAAAATAACTTAAAATCTTTAAATTGAAAATTAAATTAAAAAGATGAAAAAATAAATCAAAATAAAATCCTGCAGCAAACCTTTCAATGGTGAAACAATATGTGTATACCAGATTATTCATTATATTTGGGGAAGTGTGTAACAAAAAAGAGCACATGGAGGTATGTATTGTTCCCACTGATAATCAATGTCAAGTGAACATAATCAGTTTTAATTGTAATTCTGAAAGTAAACGAAATGAATCCTGCATGAGTGTAAAAGCTAATTTTACATGCTGCACATCAGTGTCCAGTTTTTCTACTGAGTATCTTCATGTAGCATCCCAGGATGGCAGTACAAATACTTTATAACAAATGTAATAAAGTCATGCGTTTTTCACATAAATTCTGGGATGATTTTCTTTGAGATTCCTCATTCACAAAACTATTAATAATAATAGTAAATAATAATAATAATAATAATAATAATTTTCTCATAAAATTATTGATGATTTTGTTGATTAGTCCACAAACTATCATCCATCTTCCAATGAGACATTTGATGTTCTGATGAAGGTTTTAGTTTGGAGGCCATTAGCTGAAAATACAATTCACCAAACCATTAGATGATTGATGGAGAGCCGTCTTTTGGGGAAAACAAGCACATCAATCAAACTTCTATAGAAACCACTGCAACAAGAATAAATGTGAGCATGGTCAGATATATTCTGTCATGAAAAATGGCCGACTTCTCAAGTCAAGTCACATTTGCCACTCCAGCAAAGTAAAGATTTGCTGTTGTATGTCTCAGTGTCATTAACAGCAATTGTGCTTCCAACAAATCCATATCTGTATTATCCTTCAACATCTCTCACTCGCTTTCTCAAATCTTTCATTTTTGGTCTGTCAGAGGAAGTCTTTTGACAGTGCTTCTCCAAAGTTGGGAGCAGCCATGAGAATAGCGATGGTACAGATGATGTTAAAAACACTGAATCCCACCAGGAACAGGCGGTCGATGACAGCTGCAGCAAACTGCCACTGCTCCGCCAAACTCAGCTGCCTGTCTTGCTCCCTAACGCGCTCAACTAAAAACTGCACCTCCACCAGAAGAGCCTGCAACTGGCTGTCTGCTGCCACAGATCGAATCACACCGCTGTGGGTATGTATGGCAGCTGATCTAACCGCTCCAGCTGCAGCCTCTAGGCCACAGGGTCCAGAGGATGTGATTGATGGGTCAGGGTCTTGGGACACTGGAGTTTCCTGTGGGGGGGTCCCAAACTTGGAAGATGGGTGGTGGTGATGGATAGGTGTATCTCCCGTTGGTCCTCCTCCTGCTCCTGCTGCTGCTGCTCCCTCTCCTTCTCCTCCACCTAGTCCAGTGTTAACCCTCCCATAACTTGTGGTTCTGCTCCTCTGAACTGGGTCCAGCTCTGCAGTGGTCTGGAAGGTCTGGAAGCCCATGTAAAGAAGATGACCATTGGGCTGTGGGTGTGGATTGAGGCCGGGATCTCTGTGGTTGGGATTAGGGAGGATAACAGCCTGAGGGTTAGGCCGGTGGGAGTGTGACAAAGGGTGATTGAGCTGAGCCAGGCTGGCCTGCAGGGAATTGAGACTCTGTGGGAGGATGGGGGGCACTGGCGTGGGGATGGTGGTGGTGGTAGTGGTGGTGGTAGGAGAGGACAGGGTCTTGCTCTGAGAATCTGCCTGGCTGTTCGAAAGAGTCGGCTCCGCTCCCTCTCCTGGACGCTTCATCCGCAGGAACCAAGGAACCCACTGCAGCAGAACCAAGTGCACCTGACACACAAGGACACAAGATTTATGTATGGTCTTTACTGGCCTTCAACATATTGCTGATCAGGTAGAAACACATCTAGTATTCTTAACATGCAACATTAAACCTCCATCTTATATAACAGTTTATCCCATCTTACATTATCATCACCATGTTACTAAGCTTATTCAGTCTTTTTGAATGTGAATGTAATATTATTCTTGATATTATATACTTATATTATAATATATACTTGGTTTTAAAGACACTGAAATTCTCATAAAAGCCTTCATTTCATCACATCTTCACCTTAATGCAATGCATTCCCCTGCCTTAATGAAAAATCTCTAGACCAGCATTACAAAACTTACAAAAAGGCTTTTAGATTCCCACTGTCCAGCTGTTCATTTTAGTATTGATTAAAATTTTCTGTTAACGTTTCAAAAACTGCAGGACCCGGCACCTAATCTGTTAAATCCTTACGAACCTTCATATAATCTGACATCCTCAATCAGTTACATCTTGGCCATCCCAGAATCAAAGATTAAGACAAAGCTTTGAATGATCTTCCTAAGAATATCAGCTTAACTAAATGTGGGCCCTCTTTTAAAGGCTTCTCAAATCACATATTTTTTCATATAGTTTACACTGATTTTAATTATTTTATCCAGTCATTTTTAATCAGTGTGTTTTAAATCTGTACTTCCTTGTGTTATTGTGTGTTTAACTGTACTATGTGTTTTTGGGGGTTTGTTATGAACTGTTTTATTTCCATAAATAAGGTTTTTTATTATATTTTAATCTATTATTATAATTAAAGTCTTCACATACCTTGAAAATAATTTAAGGTTTAGGAGTTAAGTTAATTTATATATTTGAGGTAATTTACTAAAAATATATTAACAATGTCTATACAGTTATTGTTTACATATTCCAATGTATAAATCTTTACATATACATCTAAAGCTACAATATTATGCTGCTACCTCTGTGGTTTCCTCACATTTACCTTAGTGTAAGTCCTACTAGCTTCTGATTGGTTAGTTAGGTCAAATGAGGGTCAGAACAAGGAAGTGTTGTTGTTGTTGTGAAGCTGATGAAGTGTGGAGAACAGTAAAGTGCTGCTTGAGAAAGTTATCCATCTCCATCTTGCTGTTTCTTAAAGAGTGATCCAACCACCACACATGGAACCCCCGAGTTACAATAACAACACCTACATCACAATGCTGTTTAATTTCAGCTCAGCATTCAACACAATCATCCCACTGAAACTGATCAGTGAAACTTTCGGGGCATGAGTACCACACTCTGCAACTGAATATTGGACAGACAAAACCCAGACAATTCAGAATCACTATCTCCACATAGTGCAAAATACCGGAGCCCCCCAGGGCTGTGTGCTCAGCCCCCTCCTGTTCACGCTGTGCACCCATGACTGTGTCCCCCAACATGTAGACAGTTGTGAAGTTTTTGGACGACATAAACATCATTGGCCAGATTTTAAACAACAAGACTTTATATCAGGAGGAAATCAACAATCTTGCAGAGTAGAGCACAGAAAACAAGCTACTGCTCAACGTCAACAAAACCAAGGCGCCAATTTTAGAAAAGACACACACCCCTGTCTACATCAGTGGAGCTGAGGTGGAGCAGGTGAACAATTTTAGATTCCTGGGAATCAGCATAACAGCGAACCTGTCATGGACATAACACGTCTCCATCCTGGTTAAGAAAGCTCAGAAACAACTTCCAGGTTTTTGTAACTTTTTCAGTGGAGCAATAGAAACCATCCTAAACGGATTACTAATTAGCGTTGGATGAACACGGCCCAGGACAGAAGGTAGTGTGGGATGAACACGGCCCAGGACAGAAGGGACCCTGCAGTGGGCGATTAAAATTGCATTGTATCCGCTGCTCGTACCACTGGACTACAGAGCAGCTTCTTTTCTCAGGCTGTATTGTTTTGTTTTGTTTGTGGCATAAAAGGACTATATCTTGCATTTTCGAAAATGAATAATAAATTAACCTTGTAACTTGATTATTAAAACTCACCCAATGTGGCATGTGTCCACTGTTAGGGCTGTGGTGATGGAACTGAAGGACGATGACTGTGGCTACAACTGACATCCCAACAATCACCATGGTGCTGGCAAAATACTGACCTGAGACAGACAGGATGGGAACACATTACACTCATAAAGGTGATGACAATTCGTATGCTATGAACAATGTCAGTTCCCCCAAAACCCACTAACAGAAAGAAACTGACCTATCAGGGGTACAGAATCTGAAGTGGCAGGCATAATCTCTGCAACCATCAACATGAAGACAGTCAGAGAAAGCAGAACCGTGATGCCTGTGGGCAGACACAAGACACCAGGGAGTAGTAGGTTGCAAGGAAAAAAAGTAGGGAAGAAGAAAGTACATGAATACACTCAGTGGAACAGTATATTTGGTATGTTTCACTTGACTTCTCGCCACAATCATCTGTCTTTCTGACACTCCTAGGAAAACTCATTCGCTTTTAGTCTTTTAGATTCATCTTCCCTCCTGCCTATTCTGTCTTTGTCTTTTCTCTGTCTCCCCCCTCAGCCCCCAGCCCTCCTGACACCATACAAAGCTCTGCATAACCGAATGAAAGTTTTCCAGTAATGTTGACAGAGAAAAATTGTAAGAGAAACACTAGAAGAGTGAAATAAGCCCATGCTTTCACAGGGAAAGAGTAAAGAATATGCAGCAAGAAATATATTTCATCTTACAGTAGGTGCACCTCCTGTTTCCCATTTTCTCATATTCAACCCCTCTTATTATAACACCATCCATCACCCCTATTTCTTCTCCACCCTCCTCTTATGATTCCTCACCCAGGCTGATTTTCTCCCCTGAGTTGGCGGGAAGCAGGAAGACCAGTAGGGTCATGGAGGAAAGGAGCACACAGGGGAGGAGGAGGTTGAGAGCGTAAAACAAAGTCCTCCTTCGTAAAGTCACCACAAAGGTAACATCTGGGTAGGGCTCTGCACAACAGTCATAGAAAATTTCATGACGACCTCCAGGGACCTCTGAGGGGGCAGAGAAAGACACTGATTCAGCAAAAACAATATCATTATGCAGAACACAGGGGTGAGGGATGAGTAAGAAACAAAACACAAAAAATCTCAGAAACACATTATAAATAATTAAGTGTTTCAACCAATGAATATTTTTGACTGGGTGAGAAGTAAATCGGATGTATAGTGTTGACACAGGACCAGCATCATCAAAGATGTTGCAGCTGAAGCAGGGACAATTAAATACACACATAAGGCATACTCCAACTACTTCTCCTACTTAAAGCTTATTATACATCTATATCTTCACAGGTCAAGTATAGCATTGCATGGCGGTAATGTAAGCACTGTTACTAAGCAACTCTGTTTGTCATTCAGGGCCTTGAGAAGCTGTCTTACCCAGCAGGTCCCATTCTCCGTTGCGCATGTATCCTGACACATCTGCCTCCTTCATCTGGAGGTCAAGCAGCCAGCCATCAAATGTCCATGAACCAAACTTCAGTTCACACCGTTGGATGTCAAATGGAAACCATCGCACATCCACGTTACATGTGCTTATAAAAATTCCTTGAAAAGCAGGGGAAAACAGGGGAAATTGTTTGCAATGAAAGAGAAGAACATTTCAAAGTCAAGTAAAATCATCTAAAAATGTAATGAAAGGAAAAAAACTTGATTAAAAATGTTGTTCAGTGCAGCCATCTGGAAGCAAATGACGAAGAAAATATTTGGTTGCAGTAATTAATTTGCTGCAGCATGAATAATACTGTATGTATGCAGAATGACTGAAGGCATATTGGTTTTGAGGACATGATTCTGATTAATAACAACCTTACCTGGAGGCAGATACTCACAGAAGCCACTGGAGTTAACCAGCACATTGGTCTTAAAGGTGGCATCAAACTTATCATGAGCGCTGGAGGACAGTATCACAGTGATGAGATTGTTAAGAGCTCAGCAGCAGTAGCTTTGGGTATGTGTGTAATGATGTGCACCACATACCTGTTGTAAAGCAATATGTCAGGTGTCCAGACCTGGTCAGGAGTGAAACGGAGGTTCTTAACTCCAGGATATTCTGACTGGTTCCACTGGAGGTAGTGGTCGTACCACTGCTGGGAGACACAAGCACAACACTAGTTTTACATATGAGCAAAAACATGAAGACATAGACAAATGAAGGGTTTATTTGCAAAACAAGATAGCTCAGTTTTTATCTATTTTCCAAAATAATGATTTTTTTTTTTTGTGCACTCAAGGAAATATCAATCAGACTGCTGCTGGTTTATTTATTTAAAGAAAGTCTTCTATCTGTTTTGCAAAGGATCTCTTCAGATTTATATATACAAGGAATAATTTGCATGTCTGTCCATCCTAAAAGAGGGATTCCTCCGTATGCTATATAGATTGTAAATCCCTTTGAGGCAAAATTGTGTCTGTGAATTTGTTAACTTGACAGATAAATAGCTTTTTCAAATCTCATGATATTCATAATAAAGATAAGGAATCTGCACCCAAGCATAAATATCTGCTCTAATGTCCATTATCATGACACTGCATACTGAAACCCAACCAGCATCTGGGTGCGTACTGTGTAGCTGATCCTGCACGGGATGGGGGGTTTACAAAAAGATTTTCACTACACAGATCAATATCACATTTTGAACTGTTATTTACTATACTCACCATCTGCAGCCAGGCATTTGTGGTGATGATCTGGTTCTTTTCATCCTTCCATAAAACAATCATATAAGAGAATAGATGATTGAATGATTTAAAGGGTAGGTTCATACATTTTTATGTCTGCCTAAAACAATATTCACATGAACAGAGTTACTGGTCAGTGTAATTGTCCTATACTCTCTGCAGTGGCTTTAAAGAGATGTGAATATGCATATTGTGTATACGTGGATTGTTCTGTTTCAAGTGTATTATCTTGTGATTATCTTATTGCTCTTGATTGGTTTCTATTTTTAATATATTCTTATTTTAGTTTTATACCTCTTATTATATACTGTCTCTTTTTATCTGTACTTCTGTCCTTGTGCTGCTCCAACAACTGAATTCTCACTCTGGGGATCAATAAAGACATAACTTGATGATGTGATGGGGGACTAAATGTACAGTCCTCATTCTGTGTAAAAATGCATTCCAAAGTTCAGCTAAAGTGGATATTTTCAATAGTTACAGTCTTTTTAGTACGAAACTCCCTCTTTGTGTCATAATTATCTGCTGCTGCTCAACAAGGAAACGCCAACCACTGAAACACGTGTTAAAAAGTATGGGAGATACCTATTTAATTTGGCTAATTCAGATTTATAAAGCCTTGTATTAGGTTTATCTGAACTTTTTTTGGAGGGGATCTTTTCTTATGTAAAGAAAGAACAATTACTGGGTCTAATAACTCTTTACATGTACACAGGCATGTCAGTATTGTATGGGTGTATAATTGTGTTTATGATGCATTTCTGCCATGCATACCACATCCATGACCTGCATTAGAGTAAAGGAGAACTGAACGGTGAGAGCCTGGGAGTCGTTGGCCACCGGTCTCTCCATTGGGTTGTAGTCCCTCAGCAGCTCCCTGAGTAGAAACCGCTGGTGAGGACCCTGCACTGACACTAAATAGGGGAGCGGGAGAGGGAGTTTAATGTAGGGGAGAGGAATCACAAAAGAGAAAGCAAGAGAAAAAGTGACATTTACAAAGAAAACACTGTGACAGAGAAAAGAAGAAGAAAGCTAGCAGAAAAACAGTGTTATTACAATGAAAGCTGAGAAAATGGTGGTGTAGAAATTGTAGGCCAGGTCAATAAAAGAGAAGGAGAAACACACACAGTGGGAGTCGACATGCTCCAGTGGAGGTAAAACAGAGGATGGGCTTTTAGGGTAGAAAGGGTGATGTTTTAAAAATGGAGTTGCTCATCTTGATGAGAGAACAGAGATCTATTGGGGATGACACAGGACAAGAGAAGAATGTGTGCGAGAACGAGAGGAAAGGGGGCAGGAAGAAAAAAATCCTGTTCCTTCTAATCAATTACGTCTCTGATTGATCACCAGAAGACAGTCAGAATCTTTCCACGGCCGTAAAATTTGTCAGTTTCATTCCGTGCAGGAAATAGTGAGGCCATTAAACACTGAAACACCCCAGACAGACAGACACACACAGCACTCACGACGATGAGAGTGGGGAACTGTCTCTCTTCGCCCTATAACTCCACCATGGGCTTCGATTCACTCTTGATTCACTCTTGATTCATTCTCCACAAGGCAATCACTTTGATGTGGAGGGAGCTATCATTGGTGGATATAAGAGGCACGCCGAATGAGTTTAAAAAGTATTATGCACTTTAAATAGCACAATGCACATTGCCTGTTCATACAACTTTATAAACTACACACAATAGTGTATATACAACAAAGCACTAAATGGTCTAAGATGCATTCAGTCAAATCTATATTCACTAACTAGACCTTAACTAATGACTCCACTGATGGTATGCCCATAATTCAGAATAATAGTCCCTGGTGTCCATAATGTCCAGTCATAGTAAATTAACCACTAGCAGCCTCATAATAACTCTTTTCCATCAATCTATCTATCTATCTATATTCTTATCTATAACAAAAAAAATGCAATCTGCAGTAAAAATGATTGCATTTTATAGTGTTGCTTGCTCATTTTGAAAATAAATCAATTTTTTTCTGCCTGCCTGCACACCAACAGACTCTCCTGGTGACTAAGTGAGATGCTGTGTGCACAGTTATTAGGAACAGAGCACTCTGTGGCACAGACAAGCAAAAGCACAGCACAGTATATACAGCACATGCAGAAGACACACACTTGTGCGAGCACAGTCTCACTCATGACACAAATGAAAGTCACTTACCCCGGAACAGAGTCACGAGTATCAACAGCCAAAGAGCCATAGCTTGCCACATACTGCATTCCTTTGTGTCAACAGAGAAAGAGTGGAAGAGGGAGAAATAAGGAGAGAAGATGAGTGTGAGGATGGAAAAAGGAGAATGAGATAGAGATCAGGGACTGGAGAGGGAGAAAGGTTGTAAAAAAACAAGTGGAGAGAGTGCGCTACTGACAGTGCCACAGAAGGGAAAGGAGGAGAAAGGGAGAGAGAGCAGGAGAGACAGAGTGGGTGAGAAATGCAGTGAAACGAATACTCCCCTGAAGAGAGATTTGCGGTGTGTTGGAGTCACAGAGCTGTATGGGCATACTGAGCTGTATGGGCATACTGTGACCTACAGCTCAGACTGAAGGGTGCTTCATGCTTCTCTGCTCATCACCTCCTGCAGACTTTCTGATATGTACTGTACTCGTTGTTTTTTCCTCAGGTTTTCAATCTGGATCTCAAGAGGGACTTTGTGAAAATCAAATCATTCTTAAAGGATTATATGGTAGCAGTAGTCCAGGTGTCTTTAGCTGAGAGTTTGGGAAGGGAATAGAGAAAAACAACATTTGAAAACAACATTTGCTCTGTGTAAACACACAAGTGACCTGCAAGGAAACATCTACCATTTTTAAATAATAAACATATGGAAAAATGTTAAGTTAGTACTGTCTGTCACTTTCTAGTTTACACCAACCAGCATCATCTGAAAGCTGTACTGCTTTTTAACTAGTCAAATCTCACATCGGTACATTCACAGAGTAATGCTGACACCCACTGGATATGTTAGTGAAGTGCAAAACTATCACCAGATATATTCTTCAATTTTTTTTAATTTTTAACTAAATGAAGGCAGCTTTACCACATGGTCAGGATTCAACTGAATAGATCTTGTTTCTCTATTTTATTATGAGTTGATAGCATTTACCGTGAGCACATCTCTCTCATTTATTCTCCTGTAATAAATGTGTGATCCCCACAAAACTAAAGACAGACATTGTGTCAGAGCAGTCTGATTTTAATGACTTTTAAAATATAACTTGTTCAAAAATAACATATAAACATACAGAAAAGGTTTATGGATTTATCTTATTATCTAATAATTTGTCGTTTCATTTTCAAATGATCAACAACGTTTTGCTGTAATTCTGTTTTAAAGTTAATACTGTTGAAAATAATATAGAATATTGAAATACGATATAAGATATGATGAATAAAGTTCTATCTGCTATGACAAGTTACTTCAGTTTAGAAATAACAGCAGTATATTCTAAAGATTTATACAAGTTTCTACCACTTACGTCCATATATGAGGGTGACAAACTATGACTAAATGATAAAAACTGAGCAAGAAATTGACTAAATACAGGCTGACTGACCACAAACTGGCCACTGAGACAGGTTGACACAGACAATCCTCACAATCCACAATCCTCAGACAAAAAACTCAGTTCAAAAAGGGGCAGAGATTTTGCAAGCTCTTATTTTTTAATTTCGTTTAAAGACTATTTTGGAGTCTTTAAAAGCTTTGGAACAGCCTTCTGCTTCCATTAAAACGCCTCCCCACCACTGACAAAGACAAGACAAAACTCAAGTTTTCTATGGCTTTTGATTGTTCTTAGATTTAGTTTTTCTTTTAAATCTTTTATTTTACTTTGTTCTTACAAGTCTTGTTCCGTCTCTTTTTTTTTTACATCTGTGCACATATTTGTTATTGTCTTACATATTTGTTTTTCTTTTTTCTTTTTTTGTGTATTGTCTTTTATTGGCGTTATGTGCTTATCTTATTTTTTAAAGCCGTGCAATTCAATTTGTTCAGCACTTTGGTCAACTCTGATTGTTTTAAATGTGCTATATAAATAAATTAAATGTATAAATGAAATACATTTAACAACTATGAACGAGCCGATGAAGCAAAATGTATTTGCAGTGCAGAAATCCAACCCCCCCCCCAAAAAAAAAA